AACTGGCAAGGAAATTTAGGCAACCTACAGTAGATAAGGGAGGAGCATAAGTGTACATGTTCAAATCAGAGTAGACTCAGAACAACTCATTTCCACCAAAATATGTCGCGATATAATGTGTATGGTAATAATAAATGTAAATTTTAGTTAAAATCGACTGACATGTAGGCTATTTCAAAGTTAACTATGTACATGTACAAGAATATTAAAGATGGGGTAATACTGATAGGATTTACCAGTATGAGTAGTGACAGCAAATAAATTGATTACTATTAGAAAAGGCTCTAGAATGATCCATTTATTCATGCAAGTTGCAAATTCAAGCCTGTGTCACTACATATTGTCATAATAGTGTTGAATAAAGTGAGAAGTATTGTATATAGTGTCAGTGCAAGTGCATGCCACTAACATAAACTGAGTGTCATAGTGTGAATGAACAGCAAAATTTATTTCAGGCTAAATGAGATAAATTTCATCAAAATTATAATTATTAGAAAATGATGGATTCAACAAAGTTTCACTAAAACGCATATTAAATGGGTACATGTAGACACCATGGAATGCATGTGATTATTAAGTCACAGCTTAGGCAAGCCTTGTATGACTTGTTGGATTAATTCATTTATTTATTTTGAGCATTAGGGTGCATAGCATACACATGCAAGGTAAAAGATGTAGGACATGTACACTTAAGGGCGTGAGCGGAGGGAAAACAATTATACAATAAAATCAAGCTGACTTGTATCTGCAAAAGCATTGCACAGCTGAAAGCTGTACCATGCCATAGTCAGCTTTGTCCTTTAATTTATATCACACATAAAATTACATGCCATATTCAATAATTTTACTACGTAAAAATTAGATCACAAAATTTTGAAACCTAAATTTCTACCACATTAATTTCATACTATGGTGACGGCATTAACATAAATTTTTGAGTGTGCAATATTGGTACCTGTAATATCTGATACAGTAGTATGTATAACTATATACAAAGATCAATTGTTTATAATAATTAGCTCAGGCTACTGATATTCGCATTATGTGTGAATTTGGGTGTTTACGAGTAGTTACACTTGGCATTGCTATTAATTTTTTCTTTCTCCAAACAATAATTATTTATAATTTATGAAGACAACATATGAACAAGAAAATTTTGGTAAAAAAACTTTAATTAACCATTGGCAATAGTTAGCCAACTACACTTACAGTCTGGTCATAAGAGACTTGCTTTTCAGTGATATACCTCACGTTTTTTATAAGACTGAACAGTACGTGCATGATCTGGGCCAAACTAATTGTGAGAGAAAACAGTTAAGAAACCTAGATGGCCTGGTATTAACATTACTGCATACTTTAGTCCTATAGATATTGTATGCTTTTCTCTTATTTTGCTTAGCTTCAGCAAATGCTCCAATGTGAGTCAATGAGTTGGCAAGAAGATGATGACTAGAGAAGAGAGGGAGGGAGGTAGAGAAAGAGGGATGGAGAGAGAGGGAAAGAGAGAGGGGGAAGGGAAGGAGGAGGCA